CAATTTAAACAATAATTATAATTCAAACGTATTTAATAAACCTTAATTTAACACACTTTAAAAAATTAACACTGTTAACATATTTAACGAATTTTAATAACAACAAAACAGTTCAACAGATTAAATAACAAACTAAAATATTTTTTTTACAATGAATATACAAAGTGTCCACCATCGCATTTAATACATAATTGTGCGGGTCGCAATAGACTGCTTGTTGCGTTTATAATTATGTTTGGTGTTATTTAAACAATTTTACCTTACAATTCTTCGTGATTATTAACTGGTTATTTATGTATACATGTTTTTTAGTATGATCGCATAAATAGTAATCCAAAGGTGTCATATCGAGTGACTGATCAACTTATAGGACCATCTTCTCGAAAATTTTTTATTCAAAGTGTAGCACACATCCCGCATTATGTAGTAGAATTTTATTAGAAAACGCGTCGTCGTCGAATATTTAATGAAATATTCTTTAACAATTCTGATAAATTATTATTTACAAAATTTTTATAAATAGTATCATCAATAGGCATTTTAGTATCTTATAGGCATTTTAAACAATCCAATCTGTAATTTAATATGTTAAAGATATTATATCATTTTTTTTTACATAAGCTACAATACAAGCAATAAACAGAAAACTTACTGTTAAATTATTCTGTATATCGTCCCAAATTGAAATTAAAATGGCGTTGATAATTTTGGATACGATATTCGTGTGGATTTTCATTTCTATAAGTGTGAGAACTATGTATATTAAAATAACCTTCCTGCGTATAACAAAATTCGTTTGTAAATAAAATTGTTTTAATGAAACCCGGTATTTGTGCCAATAATCATGTGCAAAAATTAATCCTGCGTGCATAATCTTACGGTAATAAATTTAGAACTTGGTGAAGTGATACATTCTGTTTTATTTTAAAATGAGTTGTACTGAGTTCTTAGAGATATTTAATTTTTAACTCATTTTATGTACATATATCAGTAGATGTATCTTCTTCACACATTTATAAAATTGCTTCTTAATTTTCATTTATACGAGCGTACTGTTCACATCCGGCACTAATAATAAACATATTACAATACTCTACAGGAGTATAATCCATTTTAATCTTTCTGAGGAATATTAATTCCTAAATTAACAAGAAATATTATTTTTTTATTAAAATAATTAATTAATAAGAAAGAAATATAGGATCCTCTTAACTGAAATTAAAAATTAAAAAAATGAAAAATATTTATACATATGAGCGATTTATACGATACCTCTCGTTCACTTATTTCATCTATTTTTCCTTGCTTTCTCTTGTTAACAATAAATAATTGATATTCTCCTCTTTAACCAATAAATTATAATATTTTTCTAAAAGTTTAAAATGGATTATACTCTTGTTGAGTATTATGATATGCTTATAATTTATGATGAATGTGGTCAAAATGCGACTCTTGCCGCACAAGAGTACTCACTAAGGTTTCCAGAGCGTAGAGCTCCGATTCAAAATGTAATTTTGCGGTTGATAAATCGGACACGAGAAACAGGATCTGTAATACCCCAACGCAAAAATATTGGCGCCGGACGTGAACGATACGCCCGTACAAATGAAAATGAAGAAGCAGTTTTAGAAATGTGCGAAGAAGATTCATCTACAAGTGTACGCAAAATCAGCCGAAGATTAAATATCTCGAAGAGTTCAGTACAACTCATTTTAAAAGAAAACAGGATGTATGCTTATTATTTCACCAAAGTACAAAATTTATTACCGCAAGATTATGCATGCAGAATTAATTTTTGCACATGGTTATTGGCACAAGAACCGGATTTTATCGAAACAATTTTATTTACGGACGAATCCTGCTTTACGCGCGAGGGTTCTTTTAATACGCACAATTCTCACATTTGGAGCAATGAAAATCCACACGAATATCGAATTCAAAACTATCAACACCGTTTTAGTATAAATTTGTGGGCTGGTATACAAAATAATTTAATTGTAAGTTTTCTGTTTATTATTTGTATTATAGCTTATGTAACAAAAAAATGATGTAATATTTTGGATGTAAGGTTTGTTTTAGAACAATGTATTATATATCTATGTAATATCTATAATATATTAAATTACAGATTGGACCGTTTGAAATGCCCATAAGACTTGATGGCAATATTTATCAAAATTTTATAAATAATAATTTGCCAGAATTGTTGGAAAATATTCCACTAAATATTCGGCAACGGTTTGTTTTTCAACAAGATGGTGCACCACTACATAATGCGAGATGTGTACGCCAATCTTTGAGTGAAAAATTTCCGGGTAGATGGCTAGGACGCGGTGGTCCTATAAGTTGGCCAGCACGCTTACCCGATCTGACGCCTCTGGATTATTTTTTATGAGGTCATATTAAAGAATATGTGTACAAGGAACTAATTAATGCTCGCGAGGAATTACGAGACAAAATTGTTGAAGCAATCGCCACAACGACACCAAACATGATTAGAAACGCAACAAGCAGTCTACTGCAACGCGCACAATTGTGTATTGAATGCGATGGGGGACATTTTGAACATTTATTATAAAAAATATTTTAATTTGTTATTTAATCTGTTAAACTGTTTTGTTGTTATTAAAATTCATTAAATATGTTAAAAGTGTTAATTTTTTAAAGTGTGTTAAATTAAGGTTTATTAAATACGTTTGAATTATAATTATTATTTAAATTGATTTTTACTAAAACCATTGTAATTTGTATTTTGTTACGAACATTCCAAAATGTTCTAAAATATAAAATAAACAGCTATTAATTCTATTACAATTTATTTGTCTCGCACAGCGTAGCATAGACATCTTCATGGTAATGTTAATCGATGACTTTGACAGCTCAAGTTGAAATATGCAAATTTTTACTTGAATTATTTTTGATATGCCTTTAGTTTTTACATCTTTTATTTGTGAAAAAATGTATTAATATGCAATACATAGAGAAGCGAAAACATATTGCAAATTTATATG